TTGGCCAAAAGTTTAGGAGAAACACCCTTCTAGGTCAAATTTCACATTCCTCTGATGACCTTTAACTTGTCTGGACCATAACTTGAGTTCTATAAATCTAATGGAGGACTTCTAGTACTCAAATTAAAGTTAAGACCATGCTCTACAAGTTTCATGTTGGCCAAAAGTGTATATGAAACTTATATCTTGAGATAAGTGGTCTTGAAGTTAGGCACTAAATAGGGGATTTTACCCTGGGAACCCTAGTTTAGCAACTTCTCACACTTTGAACTTTTCTTGGATTGATCTTGAAATATAACCTCATGTATCTCAACACAAATATCCATGATTACCAAGACTTAGAATTGAGCTTTGATCGTCTTCAAATGCCCAGTTGACTTAGCGTTACTCAGATGAAAACCCTAATTGCAACACCCTCAACTGTGGCTCTTCACACTTGGCACAATGACTTGACTGAGCTCCCCCATGACCCTCAAGGCACTCTATGAGCTCTATCCACACATTATCTCCTTGATCAAGGCTCCACAACCCACTGATGGTCTTCAATTGGTCTTCAGATTAGGAGATTAACCACATACAAACAACCAAACTTCTTAAGAACCCAACCCTCTTCCTGATGACTTTGGTGACTTCTCAAGCTTGAATAAGTCCTCTAGATAGGCTCTTCTTGATATAAACCACACTTGATCCCCTGCTAAAATGAATAATGCTATGCTATGCAAAAGTTAGATCAATGATATGCCAATGCAATGAAATATAAACCAAGTAAGAAAAGGCTAGGCAAATTTTGGGGTGCAACACCTATGACTAATTCTTCTCCATCACTTAAGAAATGGATTAAGGTATCCTTGAGGGTTGATTTGGTTCATTTTTGATCAATTTTCATTTGGATTTAATTGAACGTTTGTTGAGCCTAAACATGTACTCGATAAGGTGGAACACCATACATTCTTGGAATTATTTGGTGATGCCTTGAGTTGAATTTGTCCATGAGATTTTGGTTGTTGGTTTATGATTGACCAAGATTGGTTGAGCATTTTATTTGAGATTTGTTGATAATTCCTTCTATTTTTAGTGAATCTTGCAAGTCAAGTCACTTTTGGAGATGTTCATACATACTAGTTTGACCTAGTTTCTTCGGGGAATGATCTCAAGTGATCCCATATGCATTTTGTGAGCCTTGTTACATCATTATAACATGCTTAAGGTGCTGTTTTACTTTTCTTGGGTCATTTACATATGTAACTTTCCTTTCAAGTTACTTTGGAATCATACTCCTCCACTTGTTTTAGGTGTTGAGTTTGTGTTGGAACCTTGTTTCTTTCACTTGCCATGATCTTGTTTGTACTTGCATTTTGTTTCTAAACTTGATTTAAGGCTTTTATCTTGATGATCCACTTCTGCTCCATGTGGTTTACCTTTTGTTCAAGATGATTTGGTGTCCATATTTGCACTTGGAGGTTATCTTGATTAATTGGTCTCTTCTTGATCTTGTTTGCTTGTTTCTTTTTGTATGATCAATGTGAATGTTTGGTTGAGATAACCATTAAGTGTTTGCTGCCCTATCCTCTTTCTCCCGTCATTTCCTTGATCATGGATTTTTCTTTTTCTTTTTAATTAGCTTTTCTTTTTTATGATTGATGTTTGATGGTTGTAGGAGTTACACTTCTCCCATTTCATCTCATCTCTTCTTGTGGACTTATTTAGGTCATTTGCTTGTGTTTGAGTCTCATTTTTTTGTTGAGTATTTGTTGCATCTTTGCGTACTTGCATTTCATGTTTGCATCTCTAATTTCATTGACTTGTTTAAGTTACTTCCATATCTCATTTTTCTGTTCATCTATGATTAAATCATCAAGTGTTTACTTGGTCTTTTGCCATGATCCCTTACGATTCCTAGTCCCTCTGTTTAAGATGGGAGTAGGAGAGACATTAGGCTTTCAATCATTTGCATGATAACATTAGGATAAATTTTCCCCTTTCAATCCCAACTTTAGGATCACATTACATGTTAACATTAGGGTGGATCAGTTCCCCTTAGAGTTTGTATCTTCTCTTCTCATCTCTTAACTTCATAAGACACTTAATAAAAGTTAACACTTGTTGTACGCTACGAGTCTTAAGTACTTGAGGAATGATAGTTGGGGGGCCTCCTCTCATACTGTCTAGAGTAATTAGCGTATGACCTTTGGGAGATATGCGACGCATTCGCTCTCAAGTCATAGTCTTTAGTGCAACATGAGTTACAAATCTAACTCAATTCACTTCTTTGCATAAAAAACACAAAAACAAAGTCAAACCTTTTTATCCTTCGGGATTGTTTCCAAATCATTTTCAGAAAGAGTGTGTTAAGTCTTGGTTCTATCGCAAACAAGCATCGTCCCTAACTGCTAGAACAAAGATTTAACCCTACTCAAGTCTCTTTTCTTTTCTTTCACCCTGTGCAGCAGCTTCTTAGATAGTTTTACACCCTTTTAGCATAGACAACAAGCGTGGATCCCGTTGAGTACAACGGACGTGAGGGGTGCTCATACCTTTCCCTTGCGTAACCGACTCCCGAACCCAAGATTTGGTTGCAATGACCTTGTCTTTTCCCTTTATGTTAGGTTTTCTTCGATCGTTACTTTTCCTCTCTTTGGGATAAATATGAACAATGACGACTCTTCTGTCAGTCAGCCGGCCCTTTTTCGCAGTTGCGACACTAGGTTAAAAAAATTGAATCTTTCCTTGCTCGTATAGTCATTTTCTTTACCTTTTAACTATTAGATGTTGAAATTTAAGTGGTTGATGTTTGGTGATGTAGTGATGTTCGTTGATTGTTTTTATTTTGGGTTTTGCAGAAAACGTTTTCAGCTAAGGAAATCCAGGAGCTGGTGAAAGGAGAAAGAAATGTTCCTATTGTTATTGATTTCTACTCGACATGGTGCGGGTCGTCTATCTTAATAGCGTAAGAACTTAAAATGGTATGAGGTTTAATTAATTTGATGTGGATTCTGAAAATGGTTAATCATTGCTTTTCTGTGAATGACTATGAAGATGCGTTGTTTGTCGCATGTTTTGGTTTCGGAATTTTGAGTTAGTGAAATGTATGTTTCACTTCAACCTCTGGTAAAGAATTTTCCGTTTAATGCTTATAGAATAAACATTTATCATATGAGTCCTTATGTATAAACTATTCATATGCTATCCTAGATATAACTTGTAGAAATACGCTGAAGACAACTTATGAACATGTTATTGTTTTCATAAGATTGTCCAAACAATCTTTTAAATGCTTATACTGGTAGATAAGCTTAAATAAGTTAATTCAGTCTAAAAGTAAAACAGACTAACAGGTTTTAGTTTGGTTATTGGCAGAACCTAACATTTATTGTAATGATTGAACACTAATGGAAAGTATACCTATGATGGTATGTCTTATATTTCATATGTGTTATATTTGAGATTTTGTTGCGTGAAGTATAAAGATAATTCAACATTGTTTATATTATGGAAGAAAGTATAAAGATGATTCAACATTGTTTATATTGACTTATTTAAGCTTTTATACCAGCATAAGCACTTGTGAGGTTTGTTTGGGAGAACTTTCATAAGTTGTTTTTTTAGCTTATTTCCATAAGTTCTCCAAGATTGCTTATGAAAACAACTTATGACTTGTATAAAAACAATTTAACTTTATTTTATCCATTTTTTTTTTGTATAAATAGCTTAGACATAAGTACTTTATATGATAAATGTTTAACTAAACAAAACCTATACAGATTCTAAGTTCATTTGGTTGAACCTTTTTTGTTGTGTTATATCTCATTTGCATTCAAACATGGAATGGGAAATCTTTGAGGATAAGCTGTATATTATGTTCCATGAGTCCTACTTGGTTTGGCTATGTGTTTTTACTTCTAACTGCTATGCTAAAAACTTCCAACAGCTGCGGTTTGGCTCTGTGTCAAACTCAAGATCAAATTTTGCCATAATGTTAAACTCGAGTTTTTACAAGCACAATAATTTTACCCTTACGGGGAAGTCAGCTACATAGATTAAACGATGCCATAAAGTTCTATTATATATCATACTATGACATTTGGTGTAGTCCTACTGTTATGAGAATGTCTTTTGTGATTCCACATTATCCTCACACTAATTGAGGCTCCCTCGAACATATTTTTGATTGTTCGAATATGGACAATCTTTTTCTTTTTTTACTGTTTTTCACAAAATCTCTCTAGGCACACTATTATATGCCTTTTCCAAATCAACGGAAATTAACTGCTAGTCTTTTTGACACATCTGATATCGCTCCATCACACAGCATAGTAAATAGATCACTTCCATGGTTGACATGTATGTCAAACATAAAACTAAATTGATTATTGGTAATTTATTCCGCACTGGAACCATAGATAATGAATGTAAGAGAAGTACGTTCGACTAGAGCGGTAGCAAGTACTTTATGGAACGACACAGGGTGGACTTAACACCCAAGTGAAGAAGGGGTAATAATGTGAGAAAACATTATATATGGAAGACAGTTAGAACCGTCCCGTATTCCCCAATGCAAGATGCTAGGAACCGTCAAATCAAATTTGACGATGGATGATTCTTGGACGAAAGATATCAGATGTTGAACCCTTTAGTGCGGTTTTACCTTATCCTTAAATTCATTCGGTGAGATATCTGTTGGGTTGAATTTTCCTGTGATTGGGCCTTTCGCCTCCTAGGCATTTGGCCGGCCCGAAACTGAATAATATCAAAACAAAATAAGCTACTAAGGAATATGAAATCACGCATAGTAAACACTTAATAAAGACAAAATAGATTTACGATCAACAATATAACAAGCATTGTATATTTTATGTTAATTTCAGTTATTTTTTCATTTAGGATAGCATATTTCTATCGATATTATAGTTATTAATTCGAGAGTATATCCTCCAATTTTAGTCATAAACTCCTTCATTCAAAAACCCTCTTTTTCTTCCTCACACTCTCCAAACTCATCCATGGCTCTCTTCCATTCCTACGCTCTTCCACTGTTATCCACTCTCTCACCCTTCTCATCCAAACCTCTCTCTATATCTCCACCTCATTCTCTCACCACAACCACTTATTTCAACAATACACCTCTTTTTGTCTCTACACCCCCTAAAAAATTGCTCCGCAAACCACCTCAAGGAAAACATGTCAAAGATGACTATCTCGTGGTACGGTACCTTCAATACCTTTGTTTCCTTCATACTAATTTTGGGTTTCTGCTCTTTCTTTTTCTCATGAATCCTAGGTTAGAAAAATTGAAACTTTCTTTGCTCGTATAGTCATTTTCTCTTGCTTTTAACTATTAGATGTTGAAAGTTAAGTGGTTGATGTTTTGTGATGTAGTGATGTTCGTTGATTGTTTTTGTTTTGGGTTTTGCAGAAAAAGTTTTAAGCTGAGGAAATCCAGGAGCTGGTGAAAGGAGAAAGAAATGTTCCTATTTTTATTGATTTCTACTTGACGTGGTGCGAGCCGTGTATCTTGATGGCTCAAGAGCTTGAAATGGTATGAGGTTTAGTTAATTTGATGTGGATTCTGAAAATGGTTAACCATTGCTTTTCTGTGAAAGACTACGAAGATGTGTTGTTTGTAGCATGTTTTGGTTTCGGAATTTTGAGTTAGTGAAATGTATGTTTCACTTCAACCTCTGATAAATAATTTTCTGTTTAATGCTTATAGAATAAACATTTATCATATGATTCCTTATGTATAAACTATTCATATGATATCCTAGATATAACTTGTTGAAATACGCTGAAGATAGCTTATGAACATGTTATTGTTTTCATAAGATTGTCCAAACAATCTTTTAAATGCTTATGCTGGTAGATAAGCTTAAATAAGTTAATTCAGTCTAAAAGTAAAATAGACTAACAGGGTTTAGCTTGGTTATTGGCAGAACCTAACATTTATTGTAATGATTGAACACTAATGGAAAGTATAACTATGATGGTATGTCTTATATTTCATATGTGTTATATTTGAGATTTTGTTGTGTGAAGTATAAAGATAATTTAACATTGTTTATATTATGGAAGAAAGTATAAAGATGATTCAACATTGTTTATATTGACTTATTTAAGCTTTTATACCAGCATAAGCACTTGTGATTGAAGCTTTTATACCAGTATAAGCACTTGTGAGCTTTGTTTGGGAGAACTTTCATAAGTTGTTTTTTTAGCTTATTTCCATAAGTTCTCCAAAATAGCTTATGAAAAGAACTATGATTTATATAAAAACAATTTAACTTTATTTTATCCTTTTTTTTTGTATAAATAGCTTAGACATAAGTACTTTATATGATAAATGTTTAACTAATCAAAACCTATACTGATTCAAAGTTCATTTGCTTGAACCTTTTTTGTTGTGTTATATCTCATTTGCATTCAAATATGGAATGAGAAATCTTTGAGGATAAGCTGCATATTATGTTCCAGGAGTCCTACTTGGTTTGGCTATGTGTTTTTACTTCTAACTGCTATGCTAAAAACTTCCAACAACTGCGGTTATCCAACAGGTGCGGTTTGGCTATTTGTCAAACTCGGGATTAAATTTTGCCATAATGTTAACTCGAGTTTTTACAAGCACGATAATTTTACCCTTACGGGGAAGTCAGCCTCATAGATTAAACGATGCCATAAAGTTCTATTATATATCATACTATGACATTTGGTGTAGTCCTACTGTTATGAGAATTTTTTTTTGTGATTCCACACTGTTCTCACACTAGTTGAGGCTCCCTCGAACATATTTTTGATAGTTCGAATATGGACAATCGTTTCTTTTTTTTTACTGCTTTTCACAAAATCTATCTAGGCACACTATTATATGCCTTTTCCAAATCAACGGAAATTAACTGCTAGTCTTTTTTACACATCTGATATCGCTCCACCGCACATCATAGTAAATAGATAACTTCCATGGTTGACATGTATGTCAAACATAAAACCAAATTGATTATTGGTAATTTATTCCGCACTAGAACCAGAGATAATGAATGTAAGAGGAGTACGTTCGACTAGAGCGGTAGCAAGTACTTTATGGAACGACACAGGGTGGACTTAACACCCAAGTGAAGAAGGGGTAACGTGAGAAAGCATTATATATGGAAGACGGTTAGAACCGTCACGTATTCCCCAATGCAAGATGCTGGGAACCGTCAAATCAAATCTGACGGTGGATGATTCTTGGACGGAAGAGATTAGATGTTGAACTCTTTAGTGCGGTTCTACCTTATCCTTAAATTCATTCGGTGAGATATCTGTTGGGTTGAATTTTCCTGTGATTGGGCCTTTTGCCTCCTAGGCATTTGGCAGGCCCGAAATTGAATAATATCAAAACAAAATAAGCTACTAAGGAATATGTAATCACGCATAATAAACACTTAATAAAGGCAAAATATATTTACAATCAACACTATAACAAGCATTGTATATTTTATGTTAATTTCAGTTATTTTTTCTTTCAGGATAGCATATTCCTATCGATATTATAGTTATTAATTCGAGAGTATATCCTCCAATTTTAGTCATAAACCCCTTCATTCAAAAACCCTCTTTTTCTTCCTCACACTCTCCAAACTCATCCATGGCTCTCTTCCATCCCTACACTCTTCCACTGTTATCCACTCTCTCACCCTTCTCATCCAAACCTCTCTGTATATCTCCACCTCATTCTCTCACCACAACCACTTATTTCAACAATACACCTCTTTTTGTCTCTACATCCCTAAAACATTGCTCAGCAAACCACCTTAAGGAAAACATGTCATAGATGACTATCTCGTGGTATGATACCTTCAATACCTTTGTTTCCTTCATACTAATTTTGGGTTTCTGCTCTTTTTTCTTCTCATGAATCCTAGGTTAGAAAAATTGAAACTTTCTTTGCTTGAACCTTTTTTGCTGTGTTATATCTCATTTGCATTCCAACATGCAATGGAAAATCTTTGAGGATAAGCTGCAAATTATGTTCCATGAGTCCTACTTGGTTTTGCTATGTGTTTTTACTTCTAACTGCTATGCTAAAAACTTCAAACAGTTGCGGTTATCAAATTGGAAATTTGTTAATAACCAACTCAGAGTGCCAATGACAATTAGTTTTAACAATACTAGTAATCACTAGACTTTCTAAGGAAATTGGTAACTACCAGATCAAGGTACCAATAACCACGAGATTTTCAAGTGATGTTAGTAACTACTAGACTTGGAAAGATTGCTAAAGACCGAGTCAAAGGGTACCAATAACAATTGGATTTAAAAAGTGTCAGTGACCACTGGACTTCAACTGGGGAAAAGTCGGTAACAAATCGACTTCCAAACCGGTAACAAACGGTTTTAAGCAATGCCAGTGACCACTGGACTTACACAGTGGAATCGATAACAACCAAACTGAATACCAATAACAGTTGAGTTTGAACAATGCCAATAACCACTGGACTTACTGGGGAAATTGGTAACAACCAACTCAAATACCAATAACCATTGGATTTAAAAGCAATACTAGTAACTACTAAATTTCAATGAGGATTGGTAATAACCGAATCAGAGGGTTCTAATAACGATTGGATTTAAACAATACCAGTAACCACTGGACTTTGGAATGATTGGTAACAATCAAGTCGAGGTACCAATAACAATTGGGTTTAAACAATGCTAGTAACTACTAGACTTACATAGATTATTGGTGATAACCAAATCAAGAGTAAATATTAGTAACAACTAATCATATTGGTAAATCAGATATTGCTAGTCACAACTAGCCTCCCAGGATGGAAACAGGTAATCTTAAGATCACCGATAAAGTTGGGGTAACAACCGCAAAGCGATACCGTGGTAAACGGATCAAAGAGAGTGGTAACGACCAAAGGATCTCAATGGCAATAACCAGATAAATAGAAACGTAAAGCAAATGCAAACAAATGCATATGCTGATATGATGCAAATGCAAAATGCAGACCGACCCACGAGGGAGAAGGAAAGAGCAAAATAAGGAACACAAAGAGGGAACTCATCATGCTGAGTCTCGATGTTTCAAACTGGATGGCGCTTCCTTCGGGGAAATAACAATTTTCTGATGTAATCAATACTCTTGCAAACCTGCAGAGGAGAAATCTTGGCTTAAAAGTGGGGATTGTTGTTGGAAGCGTCCTTGGCCGGAGGCGACAACAAGCTTTTACGGTTCTGAGAGTAGTGTAACACTATCGCGTTACCTCTAGAGTTTTTACTGTGCTTTGTTAAATCAATTTTTTTTTAAAATAAAATTTAAGTTTTCAAAATACTTTGCTTTTCGAAAAAATCCTTATTGACGAATAAGTGAAATTGCATAACAAAAACAGAGGATCATAACAATGATTGGTCCAAAATCTGATTTCATTAATAGAAGAGAACTTTACAAAGGGTAGAGTCTTCGGAACAAATACATTTTGAAAAAATGGTAAACAAAAGGGGTTACAGAATCCCACAATAATCCGGTCCTACTAACTAGCAGTCCATGCGCTTCGTTGCTTTTGACAAGAATGACAGACGTTGATTTTCTTTTAACACCTTGGACAAGACTTTGCCCCTGTGTTTGTAGGCTTTTGTCCTTCAGACTTCCGTCTTGCTAAAGTACTTGAATCACCTTTCTAGACTTTCCTCTTTAGGCGTAGTACTTTCTCACTGCATCTGAATTGATAGGGTACTTGAGTTGTTCGCCATCCACGGTCTCGAGAATTAGAGATCCTCTAGAGAAAATGGTCTTCACATCAAAAGGTCCATCATAATTGGGCATCCACTTGCCGCGCATGTCCTTTTGTTTTGGTAGGATTTTTCTGAGCACAAGCTTTCCTTCCTTATACTCTTTAAGACGAACTTTTTTGTCGAATGCTCTTATCATTCTTTGTTGATAGATCTGGTTATGACACATGGCGGTCATTATTGTTTCATCGATTAGGTTCAACGAATCAAACCTCTCTTTTATCCATTCGTCTTTTTCAAGCTCGACTTCCATTATGATCTTCAAAGAAGGTATCTTGACCTTGATGGGTAGCACGACGTCCATCCCATAGACCAAGGAAAAGGGAGTTTCCCCTGTCGAAGTTCGCACTAATGTTCTATACCTATGTAAAGAAAATGGTAACATCTCATGCCAATTCTTATAGGTTACGACCATCTTTTGTATTATCTTCTTGATATTCTTGTTTGCAGCCTCAACAACGCCATTCATTTTGGGTATGTAAGGAGATGAATTGTGATGCTTGATTTTGAAGTCATCACAAAGTTCCTTCATCGTTTTGTTGTTCAGGTTTGATCCATTGTCGGTGATGATCTGGTCAGGAATACCATACCAGCAGATGATCTCTTTTTTGATGAAGCGGGCAACCACTTGCTTTGTTACGTTTGCATACGACGCTG